CAGCCCTCCTGGAGGTAAGGCAGCTCTTCTCTGCTGCTTGTCATTGCCTTGCTCCTCCTGACTTCCCCTTCAGTTACGGAGCTTTCGAGGAAAACACCTATCCTGGGGCATTGAATAGAGAGTTTCATTCTCCATATCTAGTTTTTATATACCTTTTTTATACCAATCATGTCAAATTTAGGCTTTGCAAAACACAGACTTGACTGGTAAACTCTTTCGGCTACTGAATTTTGGCAGCCCACAGACTTTCACAGCAGATTTTCTAGCAACCCTACTGCCAAAACCAGCCAAGTGCCTTGGCAATGCAGGTTTTCTATGCCAGAAAAACAAAAGACAAACCATGTTACAACACTCTGTACAGGTAATGGGTACAAATGGTATTTTAAAAAAGACTGGGCTAATTGCATCTCAGTCTTTTGTTGCTCATTGTTTATGTCAGCTCTTGGGAGACTTTATTCTGTTGCAAGTACGGGGTTTCTAATGATCATACCTGCAAGGCAGGTGACGATCATCTTTTGTAGCGCTGTGTCGAAGAGCACTGGCAGCAGACCAGGGGCTCTGTAATAACTCCTCAGGTGCTAAAGCCAGTTTGGTTCAGCTCCCCAGATCTGGCCCTTACAGTGCCAATGAGCAGAGTCCCTCCAAGTGGTCACTGGGTAGCACGTGTGTAAGGCATGGAGTAGGATTCCAGCCCTCACTACTGCTGATAGGATTTTGTAACGTCAAACTGGTCATTACTGGTCTGGATCCCGGCTAACCTAAAACGTTGGTGCATCCTTGTGTTGCTTGAACATTACACACACCCACAGCTGTGCCCCTGGGCCACTAACGCTTGGTGCCCAGGGCTTGCAGCTTCATCTGAGCCAGGTCCCCTTGTAACACAGCAACAAGCGTCTGTGCCAGCCGGGTGCCAGAGCCAGAGCCACCAGGGTGAGGGCCTCCGCCGCCTGCTGCCCTGGGGCCGACCAGCACCACCCTCAGGGGGTACGGACTCCTCTCCAAAGGCCAGCCAGCTTCTTCCCACAAAAAATAGTCATAAAAATAGACTTCTTCCTCCCCACCACTTCTTTTTTTTTCATAAAGCAGGTTGAGGGACAAGGCTGTTAAAAGGAAAATAAACTTCAGTATTTATTCATTCTAGTTGTTTTTTTTTTTTTTTTTTTTTTTTTTTTCCCCAAGGGGCTCTAGAAATCAAATTATGTGGCCAGAGGTCAGTTCCCTCTTGCCAGCACAGCAGGGACTACTGGTGGCCGTAGCTTGGGTTTGCTCCCATCTCTGTGCAGGGGCTAGAGGGGTATAGAACTTTTCCCAGAAACCCTTTTTAGAGAAGCAGCATATGGGGTAAATGGGCTTTTTTCTGTTTCTTTCCAGCCCTCTTCCTAATTAAATGGAAAAAAGATCCCACACTTTAAATGCTCCCCAGAGCTATAGCCTGAAGTAGCGCTTAGGCGTAGTTAGATGGTCTCGGTGTGGTGAGGAGGAACTCAAAATAGCCATAATTACCACGTCCCGTTTTGGACCAGCAGCAATGCTGCAGCTATTTGAAGGATCTGCTTCCTGCAGGTGCTGGTCAGTCCCTGCTGAGGGGTGTCTGCCCTGTGCCAGCTAGTTTTCTCTCTCTCTTTTTTTTAAAAAAGGTATTTATTAGCAGCATTTAAAAAGAGTAATGTCTACCTTTTGATCTAGGCGATATCCTATCTGAAACCAGCGTGGATGCTTTTCTCCATTGAGCTACCTTAGAGAAACTGGGTTACAAACATGGGAGGCAGTAGTTACAGAGAGTTGTTCAGTATCTAAGATCAGCTTTAACTAAGAATTCCATTAAAGCCAGAATATTTTGTTACATTTGGAACTTTAAAAGTTTTTTCTGTATAGTCAGGTAAATAAATTTCCCAGGACTGTAGAAAGTTGCAGGGAAGATTCAGTGCTTGGCTTCTTCTAGGAAGAAAGTGGAAAAGAGAATTACTGGGAAGCACTGAGAGAGAAGAGCTGTCCTGGCCTGACCGAATCGAGATCCTCGTTTTCAGAAGTGCTGGAAAAAATGCAGAGGAACACAACCAGGATGCTGTGCACAGCATTATTTGTAATCTGTTCTCATATGTCATTAAGATATTTTCAATCTTGCTGCCTGGAAGCGTTTTAACAGCAGCTTACCCACCACCCACAAAATCCATTAGTTTAAACAATAAAAATGAGCCATTTGGCCACGCAGCAATGGCCCTAAAATTGCTCTAGTAAGTGAAGATGTAATGAGGACAGAGACGTCGGAGCTGTGCGAGAATCATGACAGACCTAATGGAAAATACAGCTGCTGCAAGCTGTTCTTTGCAAGGGCAATGCCAGGCCTCGGTTTGCTTTTCCTAGACCACCCCATAGCTGGAGAACAAGAGGCAGGTACTGAACGCAGAGCATGGCACACATACGCATGTTTTTTAGGATGGCTCCTCTAGTATGTGCCTGATAATGTCTGAAGTTTCAGGTGGCACCTAGACTCATTAATCCGAGTGAGTCTGTGCAAACCAACCAAGAGCAGGACCTCCAGCAGCTTCAAAAGCCAGCAGGTGTGCAAGCGGCCGAGGAGGTTGGGGCTGGCCCTCATCCTTGCCCAGCACCATGCTCCCTTGCCGGTGACCACCCTCATCAGCTCTGCTGATGGACCTGCAGTGTAAGTGCTCCCTAACCCCATTTTGTCAAAATGACACAGGCTATAAAACTTTTCCCATTAAATCTAGGAACTCAACAGCCAGGGATATTTTAATTTTATTTATCCCCCCCCCAAGAGTTATTTCCTTGGGCCTAGGGAGCGGAATTTTGTTTCTTGCCCATAACTGCACGCAGCTGCCCCCCACGGTTTATTGAAGTGGACAACACCCTACCAATCCCGCACTTGGAAGCGAGGTGCTTAGCTAGCATCCTCTGCCAGCTTTTCTACTTTATGAGCCTGTCAAACTGTTTTTATTCACCCCAAATACAATCTTTCCACAACAAGGAGCCTGCACGGCTAGAGATGGGCAGGAGGCTGCCACAGTTACATGGGAACTGTGATAAATCACTAGGCAGCTTTCCGGGTTGCAGCAGCTGTAGAACCATCCTTCTTAAAGTTTCAGGAACTTTATTTACCCCCTATGCCTGATGTGCACGTCACGGTGTGCACTTACTGCCTTTCTTTCAGGATCATGCCTAGGTGAAAGGAATCGTAAAAACTGATCACTTAATCAGTGCATAAAGCTGAGTGGTTAATTAACAGTTGGTCCATGAGTAGCAAGAGCAGCACCACTGTCTCACCGCACCAATAACCCCACACCAGGAAGCTTGCCTGTCTGGGAATTACTATTCCAAGTAATTGCATTTTTCTATAACTGGGATTGCATGGGATTATGGTATTATAAATGGGATTTGCTCTAAAGGCCGCTAGCCCTCTGTATCTTATGGATTACTCCAGCATCTCCTAAAAGGAAATTTGATAATGCTCCTTTAATGAGACCGTGCTAAATTGAATTACACCCTGTCTACCCCTGAAGTTGGATCTTTTTCTACAATACTGGACATGCACGCAGAAGAGTCTTACGTATTCCTTTCTAAGGGGTATGCATGACCAAGACCTACACGGACACGAGCCTAACACCAAATATTTATGAAAGAAAAATTGTTTGGTTTTCGGAGCAATTTTGGGCCTAAAGGCCTCTGCTCACCGTCAGCCATTATTCCGGCCCAAACAGTCCAGCTTTAAAAATGGAGATGGTAAATTCTCTGGGGACATTCTGCAAATTGTTTATAAAACACTGCTACTCCAGGGCCTGCAAATAACACCAACCGTTTCCAGGGCTCTGATCCCTCACGCTGAATTCCCTTGATATAGCAGGGACAGGAGGCCAAAAGGAATAAATGGCTCGTGGGTGACAGGCAATGGGAAGCTCCGCAGTTTTTCCTGCTACTGGTTCAGAGTAGCAGGTGCCTCTTCATCATCCCGCATCCTCGCAGGTGGCTTGTGAAACCGCCTGCCCCCACTGTCCCCTCGCTGAACGAACACAGCTCCCGGTCAGCCGGCCAGCACAGCTGCGTCACAGGCCAGCAGGCGAGTGGGCCGAACAGCTGAGGTTTGGGGGAAGGTCACCGATGGGGAAGGATGAGTCAGTGCAACAGGGCTGGAATCCACAGTCTTCTCTCAGTCGAGGTCTGGAGCGGCTCACCCACTCACCTGAGCTGTGCAGCCGGGGACCAAAGCTGCAGGTGATGCTGGAGAAGAGGCGGCCGTGGCTTGCAGACAAACGGAGATAACAAGAGGCTTTCCTTGGATAAATCTTGCCGTCTCTGTTCTACTCCTAGCTCTTTCCTCAGTCCTGCTTTATCTTACCTGCTTGCCGCAGAGAAACAGCAATTAGCTTTCTTTTTCACGCAACGTGCACCTTCAGGTTTACTCCATAACCCAGGCCGTAGCTCCATCAGCTGATCTCCAAGCTCAACCCAAGGGTTCCCTTGCCACGAGCTAGGCACAGAGGCCGCCTTGAAGACCACTGGGTCCACTCACCCGCTGTGGTCTCGCCTCTCTCGTCAGGGGAGCCCTGTGCCGCAGGCGGGCCCCCGGCGGGCCAGGGGCCGAAGGAAGCTCTCAGGCTGGCTTCCAGCCGGCAGAAGGTGCCGGGCTGGGGGTTATGTACCGCTGCTCCCCAATGGCTTTGCCCTCTTCCTGCAGCTTTTGGGAAAAAATTACCGGTGGTGCTGTGCTAACCTTCCTGGGCACCCGCTGTCATGCCGCAGCACCGGGCTGGACGGTCTCGCAGCCTGGGAGGTTCCTCCTTGCGTTCGCCGACGAGGGACGTCGCAGGGGATGGATCTTGCCGGGGAGGCGACAGTGGTGGAGCAGTGGCGGCGAGAGAAGAGCTTGCCGGCAAGTCGCTCCTGGGGACAGCTGGGGAGGCGGAGGTTAGTCGTTCAGGGCGCGCTCCCCTGCACGAGCAAGGGCGGCTGGTCGGCGCAGAAACACACCACTACAACAGGGCTCCTCCAGGAATGTATTTATTTACATTAAAACACTATTATACAAACTGAAAGAAAGGAAAAGAAAAAGAAAAAAGAAAAAAAAAAAAAAGAGGGACGATGCCTTAGAGGGACAGGTGTGCCAAATTCGGTGTCCCTCACTCCCCACCCCATCTCGCTGCTGCCTTCCTTCTGCTCCGCTCCGACTGCGAGTGCCGTGATCCTCGTAGGAAAATCCCTTCCCAACCCTCTCGGTGTGAACATCCATGTTTTCTGTTTAAGCGGCTTTCAGAAATCTTTGTTTTCTGCCTCCAAAGAAAACTCTTGCCCAAACGTTTTTTTCTTAATTTATTTATGTAACACAGTGTAGAAAGCTATCAATTCATAAGCAATGGTTCTGTACAATCATCCTGCAGAGGATCCCCGTTAATTTTCGACCAGCAGGCACTTTTCCCCCCCAGAAGTGCTCACAATTAACAGGGATTCTTTTTAATATTTTTTTTAAGATCAAAAAGATACATGGAAAAGAAAATAAAGTTTACCTTTCAATGCCTAAAGTGTGCACATAAAACAGGCACAAAGAAACAAATGTGTATTCCCATGATTTCTACGTCACTAATACAGCAGGAGCAACAATCTGTACAATAAAATGCAGCTGCAGAGGAAAAGAATTTCAGTAACTCATCTGGAATACTTTTTAAAAAATGTTGTTTTACTTTAAAATGCATAGTGATCAGAAAAAAATGCTCAGCAAAGAGAAGCAGCTAAACCCCACAGACACAGAAAGCATCCCCCATCAATCCTTAAAGCATATTTCAATTAGGACTTAATTTTTGTCACAAATCACAAGAATAATATACAACTGGCTAAGGAGCTACATGATAAATAATTGGGAAAGAGAATCTATCCATGCACTAGTTAAATACAGCTAACCTCTTTACAGTACACAAAAAACATTCATTAATAATGTATGTAAAGACTGAAATGTAAAGAGAAAGAGAGAGAAAATACATTACTGATTTTATTAATTCAAGTTCAGGCATCTACTTGTGTTACAGCACAGCTGTCAAAAGGCGAGAATGAGTAAATAATAAAACAGAGTGTTTTTCTTTCTTTCCACATTATTCTATAACTGAACACCGATGGGCAGTGAAGCAATCATTCTGCTGTCCAACTCATGAGGCTGCTGTGGTGTCCTAGTTCTGCATCTGTTCAAAGAACTTGTAGGTGGGATTTTCATAGCCATTTTGCTGCATCTTGGAAAGGTGGCGCTCCTCTGGTGTCACTGCAGCATCCACCTGTCGTGAGAACAAACAACCAGGGTCAGATTCTTCGCTTAATTCAGAGCACACCCCACATTTCCCCACTTTACGGCCATCCAACAGACTTTGTACCCTCCCCTGTGCATTCAGGCAGAAAGCATCCTCTGAAACACAAGACAGTTTGACAGGTTCTCTCCTGCCTCCCCCCCCGCTTTTTTTATTTTTTAATGAAGGGGGGAAAGTAAGTTAGGTCCCACACAGCCCAGATCTCGGAAGACAGTCTAAAATAAAGGTAGCTGGGAAGCGATAGGGATACTTCTCCACTGAACCGAATATTAAACCTAGGGACCAGGATGCTCTCACTTCGTCTGAAAAGACAACTGTCTCTGAAAACTCTTCTCTCCAAGTCACGCAGGACTGTGAATGGCCTCACGAACAAAACCAACAGACAGCACTGCACCCAGCAATAAATGAGAAGCTGGCTAACAGCTTTAAAAAGCAACTTGCAAGAGATGTCTCCTCCCGCCTGGATAGTCGTGGTTCATTTTTGGACAGAATGCAGGAGAAGATAAGGCAGCAGGGCAATTCTGCAACTCAGTTTCTTGCTGCAGGACTTCAAAAACAAACGACCACATTCAGCAGTACCAGCTTTGGTTTTTGTTGTCTGGTTTGGGAAGCATCCACACACCAAAAAAAGGGGATATACTTTTCATCTCCACGCTAGTGCCCCGTTATTAATTTTCTTCCCCCTAGGATATATATCAGTGTCTATACTTGGGATCAAAAGAAAAGAAAAAGCTCACTAAAAAGCTGAAAGAAGTGGCTTGAGGCTGCCTTCTGTCTACACTGCGCTCTTGGATCTGTTGCAGGTGCTGCGGTCTCAAGACCAAGAAAAATTAATTGGAAAAAAACAAAATGAGGGTAGCAAGGAAATGCCAGAGTAGCCAGGCACAAGGTGAGCAAAAGTTCCCATTGCATTCACTGAAACGGAACTTCTCTGGCTCCGAGGTTGAGTTTGGTTCAGCTTAGTGACAAAAAGCCTGACTGGTTTAAGTATTTTTACTTAACAAAAACTGACCTTTCTTGGTTATTCGGAAGACAGGCAACAAGGACAGCTCAGTCAAGACTTCTCCATTGACTAACTGCTGCTCCACAAATTATTTTCTTCCTTCACTGAACATTACAGTAATATAAAACTCCATCAAATTAGAGTGGGCGAGAACAGTCTCTAAATGTTAATGAGGTATTTTACCTCTGCTGTATGAGCTCAGGTTTTGAATGCATTCAAAACCTACTGTACCCTGGCTATCTTGCCAACCACCTATGAACACAGAGCTAAGGAAGCCTGCTTGTCAGCTATTTCATTTGCTATCTGCTATCTCTAGTGTTTTGACAGATTTTAAAAGAGAAGGTAAAAAGTGAATTTTACATTGTCAAAAAATCAGGAAGGTGCTGAAGACTCTACACTGAAGTATTAGACATGCACATTTTCCTGTAGATTTCTATAAGTAGTGGCCTTTAGGAAAACCAGCCATTTGCTTTTAGTACAAAAATAGCCTTTTGGATAATGGAAAGTGTTTTCTCTCAAGAAGCTTTACATAGCAGGCTAATGTACTCTAACCTTTTAATAAAAAAGCAAAGAAGTACTTATGTCTGACACCCATTTTAAATCTAGTCTACAATACAAAGCTGGAAATACCTCAGCTTAGTGAGGACAGACTACTGCCTTCGGTGAGTCGTTACCTGATGGCTTGTAGAAAGATCAGAGCCATGTTCTTCCATGCTTTGGACCAAGGCAAGTGGCTCAGCTTATTTTTGCAGCCGTTCTTTGACTGCGGTAGGTTACACCACAGCACCACCTTTCCCACCGTACCAGCCAGAAAATGGCTCCTCTCAGAGCCATCTTCTGTCTTCACGTCCTTTTATTTGTTACTTAAGAGAGAAAATGGTTCCGTGTGTGGCACACATATTTGGCTGCTCAGATGAACTGCTAACCCCAAATCTGATCCGTTTTCATATCTGTGCCCCTTCTAAATCTCCTTGTCCATGTTCCAACTCAAATCACATTTTCAGTCAACACTGTATCTTCCACCAAATCTTTTTCTTATGCAGGGATTGCACATTTTTGTGAAATACCCAACTTTAAGGGTCACGTGTTGCTTTTGCTCGCACAGCTATTCTGAAACTCTCCAGAACTGGGAGCCCTGAGCCTCCTGGCAAACCCTTGACTCCTGCTGGCAGGGAACAGGATGACAGGCAGGAAGAAGGATCACTGGGCTGAGCTGACACGGTGCTTCCTGTGTTTCTGATTCTGCAATATAACTTGGCCTTTTTTGCTGCCAAAATACTGCCATTCAAAAGCTGTCCTCTTTTTTTTTTTTTTTTTAAGTTGGATTTGCACAGAGTAATTCTCTTACGCAATGAACCCCAAATCCATCTATTTCTTCACCTCCTGTGACACGCTCTCAGGTAGTGAAATCCTGTTTAGAGAGATGTCACTCTTGTTTTAAGCTGCTCTTTCCAGGCTTCCCTTGTTTTAGAAATTAGAGGGGGAAAAATATAGTATTTTTCTTTCCATGACTCCCCCCTTCTCCATAAATGACAAAAGAAACTTCTTTTCTTCTGAAAGATACAAGCTTCCCCTGGCCATCCCATGCCAAGTAGCGAGGGCTCAGCTCGGCTGTCAGCAATCACTTTGATCCATCAAGGACAGGAGAACCCCATGGAATTTCACAGCCCGTCTCCTCTTCAACCTCTACACCCAAACCCCCAAGACATTTCTGTACAACCACGTGCTCAGCAGCCAGCGTGCAACTGCGCGCTTGCATTTTAAAGACTGGCTGCTCAAGTCTCACCTACGCCCAGCAGAGAGGGCAGTGGTGGGGCTGGGCGAGAGGCAGCGGGAGGGACACCACAACTCGCAGCCCTCATCTCCGCAACTCTCTCCAGGGGCTGGGTTGTCTCCTGCTGCTTCACCTGGCCTTTCGCCAGGGGTTGCCAACTTCTCCCTCCACAAGGATATACCATCCGTACCCATATGCAGCGAACCAACTTCCAGCAATCCCTTGCTGCCACTGCCGTTCGGCAGAGCACTTGTTTTCGATGTATGCCATCAGTACGACAGCAGCAGGGCCTAACAAATCCATTCCACGTAGGTTTTGTACAAACACATAAAAGGCCTAATCCCTGCCCTGAGGACCGTGCAAACTTAGCAGCATTAACTACTTCCATTGTGACAGTGTCACCACGTGCCATCTGCTGCTGCTCAAGTCGTCACTAACACGGCTGCAGAGGGAAGAGAAGAACAACGCAGGGAAAACGGCAAACGCCCCTTAGCCTTCTCAGCACTTACAGAAAATAAGAACACAAAGCAAGTGCAGAGGAAAAGCCACCCTTCATTTCATTCTTGAAGGGGCAGCTGTAGCATCAAGGCAGCCCTGGTTCTTGTGCACAGTAACACCACGCTACCAGAGTATCCAGTGCTTCTCCAAATCAAAGAGAGAGCGAGCCTCAATTCACCGCCGAACCCACCGACAGATTCTCTTTCAGCATGAAATTAAAGCAGAGTTCGAAGCTCTGGGCTTGAAGGACGGAGGATCTCATGTATCAATATATGCCTGAGAGCATCTTCCTTTCTCGGACGCTCTCCCCACTAGGCTGGGATGCAAAGGAGGGGTATGCCAGAACCTGTGCTGTACTTCTTTGTATTTAAGCTCCAAACAACACTGTATTGAACTCTGTCAATCATTTTAGCTTAAGCCTCCCACTCAGCACTTCTTATTCAGGACTAGAAGTTGTGATAAGCACACAGCATTACTTGCTGTGGGAAAGAAATGGGCTAAGACAACAATAAATAAATTAAAAAAAAAAAATCAAAGAAAGTGAAAGGCAGAAGAGACTGAAGAATTGACAAGAAACTACAGAGAAACCTGGAAGAAAATTAGGGAGGAGAAAAGAGATTAGGAAAAAAATATGAGAAAGGACAGTAAAATCAGACTGAATTTTTAACACCCTTGCACTATATTCCATATTAAAAAGTCTCACTTTGATAAAACTAGTTTATAGTGAAAGTCCAATAACCTCTGAAATATGGCATTTATAGATGAAAGGGATTTACTGAGGCTCCTACTTGCAGTCTTAGTAAATTTTTTTTTTTTTTTTTAAATTTCCCCTTTAGCTTTTAAAATGACTAGTGCTGGTACTTCCTCTCCCTCCTGTAGCTGTCTGCTGCAGGGTAATCCATGTCACCGCCAACCTACGTGCACTATCGCTCATCCTGAATGTCTTCTCTTCTACTCAGCCAAACTCTTCCTCTTGTTCCTTGCAACCTCTGTCCTAGGTATTGCTCTGTCAAACGTCACGCCTTGAACCTGATTATCTCCTTGTCAGTAAATCCCTAAAGCCCTTTACCATTTTAAGAAGCTTTTTGCACCCTTTATGGAGGTGGCAGAAGTTGAATGCAGCATGTAAGAGTTGTGAGTACTCTGGCCGAGACACTTCTCTTTTCTACGACGTGATGTGTCTTGAGAAAACAGCCCGGTCAGGTACATAACCTCTTTTGACACTATCCATCCTCTTCTGCTCTGGCATATGGATCTTTCAGACAGAAAATTCTAACGTGGAGTCAGGAAGATGGTAATGCTGCAGAAAAATTCACATACTGCCTCTACACACGTGGGGCAGATCAAAATCCCAAACGCTGTTGTTTAAACGATGGGAAACGGATGCTGCCTAATATACACCTGCAGATCGGACTTTGAGAGATGGACTTTGGAGAGCACTACAGCAATTTTAGCGGCTTCTTTGCTACGGCTGTGAGCCCTCCCGTTGTCACCTCTCCCCACGTGCTCCAGCTGCAGGTCCTGCCTCTGTAGCAGAAAGCAAATAAGCTTCAAAGAAGAGATCCTGAAAGAGGAGGAGCTGAGACAGTCGGCCCTAGTCTGGTGCACCAGGGGTAAGAATCTCTCTCTTGCCACCTGTTTTCACGGAGAAAGTAACCTCCTGCAGACAGCTGGGGTGGGCACACCAGGAAAAAACACCTTCAAAATGGTTGCCAGAGCTCCTATGTGCACATATAATAAGTAATTTTCAACCACTCAGTCATTTACATACTTAACTGTGGCAGTCCTTCTCTTGGAGTGGCTGAACCACTTCGAAACATTTATATTGTCAGACTTGGAAGAAAATTATTATGACACTTTTTCTAAATAGGACAGGTATATTCCTCCTCAGAGCTTCAAAAAAAAAAAGGCTAATAGGATTTTTAATAATGTCTTTTGTTAAAGAAATAGTGAAACTAGAAAAAGTACTACAGTCAGAGGTGACTTTTTGGAAGATAAGGATACAGGTGGAACAAGACCTGTTTTGTAATCTTGCATCCATTACCACAGAGTTAAATTCTCACAGTAACTTCTGACATGCAACAAACTGGTTGCAAGTTCTGTTAAAATATACTCATCCAACCTAAAGCCAACGTACAGTTATTTTTACATCACGCGATTTTGCTCTCTCATGCTTTTTGTGCACAGTACATTAAAGGTGCCCTGTTGCTAAGTAAATTAATCCTCTTTAGAATGGAACAGCTTAGTTTTGAAGACATTTAAATATTAAAGATCAATTGTATAGGGATCTTTGGGTGTTTTTTTTTCCCTGAAGTAAGTGCTACAAAAATAGATGTTATGCTTTTCTTGCAAGCGAGAAGCTCAGACAGTGAGGCTATGCAGTCTGGCAAGACCACAGAGCAAGTCTGGCAGAATGAGAAATCCTGCCTGCCAATGCCAGACACAATGCTGCAAATCTACAAGTGCGGCACTATAAATTGACTAATATTCCTGATACATCCGCATGCTACAGCTTTATGGTTTTATCTGTAAAATTTTTTATTCCCTAAGTGATTCTGTCATTTTGACATTAATTACTTGTTCAGCTTGCGCATGCTATTTCTAGTTCAACATTTCCAAGTTCACTGCCAACTGGAGAAAGCTCCCAGGAATCCAGGATTACCTTTGCCACGTCACTCCATCAGGTGAAGCCCATCTGAAAATTTAAGGTCGTCCTGCAATAACAGTATGTTCACATTCAATGTCCAATTTGGGGCTTTGGCCCAGCGAGCCTCCTGGCCTAGCCTGCTGTTGCTAAATTCAGCCAAAGGAGGGTCTCAGGTTGCACAACTGTTGGCAGCAGCTATCAACTAGGTGGTTTTAAAACTAAAAGCTATTTCAGTTTTCTACAAAGAGGGCTGGAAGCTTTCATATGGAAAGCTGAGATTCCTGCTTGCTATTTTCTGCCTCCGAGTCCAAATTCTGCAGGGCTTGCTGTTTGCTCAAATCTCACCCCAAACAGTTGGTGCTCTTCTGACTATGTCTCTTTGGAAGGTTTCAAATCATGTGGGCAACCACAACACAGACACAGGGACACAAAAGCACAGGCTTGAGTAAGCCTTAAGACAAAGGCTTACTCAAACATTTATAAGACTCTTCATTGCCCCCAACAGTAGAATACATACATCAGGAAGCATGTACTTCTCCAGCAAGACCAAAGCAAGGCTCATTTGACCCAAGGTGAAACCAACATAACTGTGGACCTGAACGAGACTTTGTTTCAATCAAAAATTCAAAATACTAGTTTTGGAAGGCAAAACCAAGTGCTGGCTAATCGAAGTACTATCTGCAAACCAGACACTTGCACAGCAAACTACGTATCAATACACAAGGGGGGAAAAAAAAAAGTTACACAAACCCCCTTCCAGGTCTCACAATTAAGTTTTTCTACTTACAGACACCCTTTCTTACATCCAAGCAACAGATGAGGTATTTTAAGTTACTGTAAACTGATCAAAAATCTACTTGGTAGACTGGGAAAAGACAAGGGTTTGCATCTTGAAAACCCCATATAAGAGTCTTATATAGCATTTGCTTCTCAAATCCATGAGTTTCAGATTAGCCATGAGTCAAAAGCTCTTGGTGGCAAAAGAAAATATTGCTTAGAGAACAAAAAGTAATGAAGTATCTATATAGGGAAAATCCTTGTAGTGTACAGCACAATCCACAGAAGACCTGCTTCAAAGCTAAAGAAATCCATGTATGTGCATTCCCAACAACAGTAAAACCAGACTTTTCCTCTCGAGCAGTATCTGCTCATTGGCTGCTGCTAAATGTTCTATGAAATAACCTACACACCATGAGGTGATTGGTCTGGGATAGTTCCAGAAGATATTCTTGTAGTTTTACACATACAACGCGGTTTATGTTGTGTCTGCATTTACATAATAAGGCAATTTGATTCTGCTCTGCCAGATACAACCCCTCCAACTCTGAACATCGGGCTAGCCAAAACCACAGTTTCTTCATTTGTAAATGTTTTCAGAGAGCAATGTGTTGAATGTGTTGTACATGTGACACCAGTTGTGCTTGGTAGCCTTTTCTTACCTCCACAACCCCATGATGAATAGATGTGTACTGTTTCTTCTTCAGCATCACCAAAGTAATGACAATCACTGTTGCTATGACAACACCTCCCACCATTAGTCCAATGATGGCACCTTTATTTGAACCCACATCTTCCGCGAAGAACACCTACAAAAGAAAAATATAGGAATGTGGCTAATAAAAAGTTCACTGAGTATTTGGCTAACCTGTCCAGCTGCCACAGCAATATAAAGCCTACTGAAGTATCAGTAATTAAGCAGCATCGCACGTCACCTTAACCATTCAAAACTGGATCGCTGTACCACAAAGCTCTCATAGCTGGAGAAGAGCAATTTGGGAAATCCGTTACTGCCTGTGGTGCAGCAGTGCTGTGGCTAAGGGGAAGACTCACCGCCATGGCTCTGCTTCACATGGGTCTTAGACAGTCGCTGTTCTGTTTTTTTCTTGGGTAAGCGAGTGAAGCTAATTGCAAAATGACTGATAAGTTTGTACAGGAGTAACCAGGGAGCATAAAGACATCTTTATTTTCAGAACGCTAATCATGAAAGTGTTCATAAATCTACATCCGTACGGCTTGTTTGGACTATGCCTGATGCGTTTCTTCAGTAAAGGAGCAGTGAAGACCTGTAGGACAGCAGTGCAACTTGCACGCAACCAGTTGGGAGAAAACTGACATCAAAGAGACAGGAGTCCAAAAAAACACAAGCATGTCCATTTGAGTGACCACAAGGGGACGCATCAAGACTTTGCAGGGTAAAGGGAGAATGAGCTGTACCTGGACGATGACCACACTCACGTGAAACCTAGACGACATGACATGGTAAAAACCAGAGAAGATCCACTTGATTTACGTGTACCGATAAAGCCAATCAGTGGACAGCAAGATGCTTTACCGTGCATTTAATAAGACTGGCTTTTAGCAACAGGAGCAGGTATGAAAAGTGGGGGATTGTTTTCCCTGTCTTGCTTTGTATTCAAGGAATATGCTGGATTATTTTACATCTATGCATACTTTATAAACCTTTTGTCTGTTTGTCAATAATAGGCAAAAATTATTAGAGAATAAATTACATTCACAGAAATGTAAGACTACCTCACTCTGAAAGAACAAATACTTTGATAAGTATTTAACAAAAATGCAGAGTGAAGCAGGAAACCAGCTGAGAATGATAATGAGCTGTATAACATTTGCACTCTTCAAGAAACACAATCTTCCTCAGAGAGGTATTAAAGCATGCTGTATAAATATTTATATTGTTCCTAGTCATAAGCAAGAAATGTGCATAAAGTTAAGAATTCAGTGGAAAGTACACACAATGGACAGCGTTGGCATAAGCTACTGTGAAGTAATAATTTCTTCTGTCAATTTTACCCGCCCAGGACTGGAATTCTCTTACCATACTATTTCAGAGCACTGTGAAATGCCCCAGCCAATACACATGTGCAGCAGAGGAAAACCTTAAGCACTCTGAGCCATGAAAATCAACTTAATGTACAGTTAAAATGTGAACATTCATAAAGGAGGAAACAACTGCAATTTCAGCTCAATTCAGAAGTTTGCGTGTAAAATACAATGTGCAGCTGAATGCAAAGCAATATCCTAAGGAGACTGTTTCAGTAAAACCTACCAGGGCACAGGAGAAGGAAAACACAGTATTTTCTGCTTACTGCTTTTGAATTAAAGCTAATGGAAAAGGGCATCAGCTAGGATATGGCATGTGGTAAACAAGCAGTGCCCTGTAAGGCATCTGTCCAGCACTTTCTCAGCAACAGCAGACTCCTTGCTCAGTCTCAGTTGAAAAGACAACCTAGAGGACAGCTTACTAATTTTTAAATAATGGTTGTACCAATCAGTAAGAAATAAGGCATAAAATGCTTTAAAAAGCTGGAAAGGTCCCGTTTTAAGCACGGCACGGATTACCCAAGTGCAGGGATTGCAATGCATTTGCATCAGCCAGCACGGTAAAGGGTAGTTTCCAGCATCAAACTGCTTGGGATGGCATCAAACCACATAATCATAAAAGGTCGCTGCTGGGAAACGCACGTGACACAGGATCAATAACGACTGGGTCTAAAAGACATTCCTGCAAGTTCCTTCCCTTCAGTGAACTGCACGGGTTTACTCCATCAGGATGTTTAACCCATCTGAGCTAAGCACGTCAGAATTTCCCAAATTAGTGCTAAAGCATTTTGGATTAGCTTGTTGAACTGGGAATTCTCAGTTCTCAGCATCAAAGAAATGGCAGAATATCTTTTCACACAGTGATTGCCTAGTTCAAATGCAAATTTGAGTCCCATGTTAATTTTAATTTTCAGCACTACTTAGCTTTAAGAATATAGTAAGAAAAAAAGCTTTCAAGTTTAATATCAGGATATTGAAAGTCACGGAACTGAAATCTCATCATGTAACATGCCTTTACAGAAGAGAAAGCAGAAAAGGTTTATAGTCAACACTGCTGTATGGGTTCTTCATTACTTATTAAGGGACTGAAAAAAGCCTTTAGAAGATGCTTGTTCTCACTTACATTGCTTTTGGCTGTTATTTTTGTGTTCATAAGAAGCACAGTTCAAATTTGGAACAGTATTTTGCTCCTACCTGTCCTTCACCTGTTAATAATTTAATACACCTTAAGGAACAAAACACACAGATACAGCCAAGTACATATTAAAATTAAGGCCAGTGGAGAATTTCCTCTTATCCCAAGCAGGCGATCTTGCGAAAGGTTATGCTCCACGGAGTTCAGCCTCCTTCATGTACCACCACCATCTGTTTTGACAGAAAAGGAATCTATTCCTGAAATGGTGTCACTCTATTTCTTGCTGCACCATGCTGCGTGTCTCCATCAAACATTTTTCTTTTCTTTTTTTAAACTTACTTAGCATTTTCTTTCCTCTGTATCCCTTCTCTTTAGTTACGTGACCATGACAGATGGACTGTGCGACAAGTATTGCCCATATGACCACATCAAGTCACGTGGCAGTGCAAGGGCAGGAACTGTCAGAATTTCCTCCCATGTGAGACTTGGTGGTTTTCCATCCTCTCTGCTGAAGTTATTCCAGGTTTACTCTCATTTAAGAGAGAAACAGAGCAATAATAATCTGCTCACGTGAAAAGTGTTTGTTTGCATTTTCAGCATCTACATCACTCAAGGGGAAACGTGGCCATGACTGACCCACTAGTTCCAGACTGAATCAGCAACTCGAAACGCACGCGTGGAAAGCACTGTTTGTTCACTCACCAGCTTTTGATGATGAACTTCATACCCTGAGTCATGCCGGAACTCTGCATCCATCTTCACTTCAGATATTTCTTCTGTTTTAACATTGGTCAAGCCAGAACCTGCATTGTACCGCAATGACAGCTCATTAAAGTCATCGACTCAATTACGCTCCGCTTACCTCCACCATTACAAGAGCAGAAGGCAATGGTATCATTCACGCAGAGGAGGTGTGATGCAACGTAAAAGGGAACTGGGAGGAAAGTGAGGTACATCTGATGTTTCAGTTGCACTGAGGTGACACGGAATGAGCTGGTAAAATTTCTCCTCTGTTACACATTCCTTAATCCGCTGCAGCTATGTTGGTACAAGCATCAAAGGCTTCAAGCATGAAACATCGCAAGAACTGAGCTGCGAGTGACCAACAGCGGACTCCTGAATCGGCTCGCAGGATGCAGACAGATCTGCTCTGACAGCCTCTTTAGCAACGTCAAGAAAATTTGGTGTTGAGGCTGAAGTCTTCCTCCTCCCTAAGCTCAGGCTGCTGTGAGGAAAAAACACACACCCGTGGTGTGATACTGTATTTTCTTGCTTCCTGTGAGTCTGTACCTTTTGCACAAACATGCACAACTAAGAGTAATTAAAACATTTGTGAAGCTTACACAGTCCTTACTTGTTTTCAGATTGCTCAGAATTAGTACGATTCAACTCTTGACTTCTGCTTGAGAGACAACGGTCCCTTTTGATTAAAAGCAAAGTAAAGCAAGTAAGCAAAGCTTGCAGTGATTTTAATTGTAGATAGTTTGCCGTCCTGTTCTCCGCTTATGTGAAGGGGAGATGCTGCAAGTGGCTAACAGGAAAGAAGGCCAGGATTTCCTCCTGGAAAATAGCCTTAGGAGAATGAACCAGACTTACAACAGCTAAGCAGTGCATCGTATATGTGTATCTGTGAATTTTCTGTCCTGAAAAGCTGGCTCTGGCTTATAGAGAACATATGGGTATTCATGTAGCTGGTTATTTTCCTTCTCAGTACCCACTGACTGCCATTTATATTTCCTGGAGGTACAAACACTGCAGAAGCGCGCTGTTTATGAGAAGTTATTTCCTCACCCTATCTAATGCGCTAAGAACAAACTGGTTCGTATTCTTTGTCCATATTTATTTTAGCATTTTATCACTCCAACTCCTCTCTCCGATCCTTCATTCCGATTCTTAGTATTTTGGGCTGACCTTAAGCTCTGATACAGAGGAACAGCCTCTTCTAAAATTCTTAACACTACTGACTACTCTTGCGCTCCACAGTCTCTCTGGACTCTCAATAAATTCTTGAAGACTTTCATGTGCCTATGAGCTTCACAGTCTAAAGTAGCACTCAATGCAAGAATTATTGCTCTTTCATTGCCTTTGAATGTGCAATTTCTTTTTTCATTACATGCTGATCTATTTTTGTATTACGAGTCAGCGAGAACAGACCTTCCCAAGAACTCTACTCTGGCCTGTACAGACAATCCCATTCTAAGGTTCTGATCTTTCTTTTCACAGTAAACCATGCAAAGGAGAGAACAAGAATCAGCTTCATGCAGTATTTATGGTTATTTGCTTGAACAGTCTGACTGTCCCATAAATACTACCTTAGTATGTGTCTTTTTTTAAGGAACAAAGCACTTCGAGATCTCCAGTTTCTTTATTAAGCATCTGATTTTTCATGCCACATTACAGTACTGACACAAGTATGACATTTATATATGAGAGACCATTTCTAAATGCAAGAACTGTAATGTACTTAAGAAACTGCAGTTTGAAAACAAACCATGACGTTCGGTCAATGAAATGCAGAAGGAAATGGAGTTGAAGGAAATAAAACCCACATGGCACCTGAAAAGAGGTTTAACTTTCTATCCTCAAAGCAGCTATGGTTAGCTTTCCAAAAATAAGAATACAATTTACTCTCCTTTGAGCATCATCTCAAAACAGCCCCTACACCTGCATCAACGGGAAGTGAAGAAAATGAGAACATATATGTGGCTGCGCAGAGGCTTGCCTCTTCAACTCCCTCACCTTTTTGTTTTTAGGATTAAAAGGGGAGGGGAAAAAACCCAACAGTAGAATAGCCATGTTTCACATAGATTAAACAGCTGGGGGCAAAGGGCTTTCCCAGGACTTGGTTCACTGCCCACAGCTGCAGTGGCTGAAGAGGCGGCCGGCTCCCAGCTGATCGCCACCGTCCATGGCCACCCTTGCTGCCCCTCAGCCACGCTGGCAAAAGCACCACATCGAAACTCCCCCAAGGCAAAGGCCTGGGGAACTGCACAACTCTACTGCTACAGCTGGCACATTCACTGAAGCCATAAATATTGATTAGAACGTATCCATACATACATGAGATATACCCGTGAAGAATCAACTTATCTTTTGCTGAGTGAAGTCCTGCCTCCAAAACCTCTTAGAGGTCACTGGAGGACTTAGGAAGTACATGGGAAACAGTGATTTAGCTTGGAATGAAATCTAGATTTCCAAAAGCCCTTTGACAAGGTCCCCGATCAAAGCTCTGGCAGAAGGTAAGATGGCAAGGATTAAGAGGGCAAAGTCCCACAGAACTTTCCATAATTGATTAAAAGATAGGAAACGAAGTGTAAATACACAGCCATTTTTCACAACGGAGGAAGGTTACCAGCAGGGTCCCACAAGGATCTGTGCTGTGCTCTTTGTAAAGTGATCTGGATAAGGGAGTGAATAGTGATGTGACAAAGTTTACTGAACAAAAAATAAAAAAAAAAGAGGATAGCCAAAGTAAAACCAGCTGCAAAGAACTGCAGAAGGATATTACAAATTCTGAGTGCACAATAAAAGGGAAATGGTATTCAGTCTTGATATAATGTAAAGTGGTGCTCACAGGGATACACAGCCCTAACTATACATACACAACAACAGGCTCTAAATTAGCTCTGTTCCACCCCGGACAGAGACCTTGCAGTCACTGCGGTTAACTCTCTGTGGGCAGTTGGCTCAGTAGCAGTCAAAAAGGCAAAGAGAAAGCTAGGAGTAATTATGAAGGAATAGAGAAAACAGAAAACATCGTTATACCACTGTATAAATGACGCATCCTCATTTTAAATCTGTCTATCCATTCTGGTCACCCCACCTCAAACCAAGGTAGAAGAACTAGAAAAGATACAAAGCAGGGAGAGACAGACAATCACTGGTATGGAATAGTTTCTGTACAAGAAGGACTAGACAAAACAGCAGTCTTCAGACTGGAAGAGACAACCAAGGGGGAACACTACAGAGGTCTATGTGACTGTGAATGACAAAGAGGAAAGTCTACAGGAAACAGTTATTCGTTATTTCTCCTAAGAAAGTACAGGACACCAACATGCCTGTGACACAGCAGATTAAAAACAAACAAAAGAAAGTGTGTGTATATACAAAATTTGGCACAATGCAAAACTGGACTGTGGAACTTCTCGGCCCAAATCACGAGGATGTTCAAAATACAAACGAAGAAACGAAACAAGGAAGGTTCATCCAGGGTTACTGAACACAATGGTGAAAACACAATTTCCAGTCCCGGATGTCTGCCAAACGCTGGCTGCCAAAAGCTCAGTGGATGTGCCAGGAGTATAAGGCAGAGGTGAAGTCTGTAAGTATCCTGTATGTACCACTGCTAGAGGCAGGACAATGGGCTCGGGTACTTCTGCTCTTGGGCTCTGACCACTTTCAGGGAAAGCAAGCTACAACAGCTTAGACTATGGGTCTTGGTTAGCTTCAGTTAAACAGAGCCAAATTACAGCAGCATCTCAAGGGGCAGAACAGGTCACGGGCCTTCACATCAATGAGCTATAGAGGGTGACAAATCCATCAATAGTCTCAGCTGCTAGAAAAACACAGGCTCAGGCTTCCCTAAAGCCATGTTTCTTTGGGGGTTCCCTTCCCTCTTCCCATTCCCATCAAACAGTAGCACTGGAGCCGTACTTCCAGCACGTAGCAGGTTAAACAATCTTTCATCTAGAGATCAGGCAGATTTTTGCTTTGGGGCATATGACCAAGGCCTGGTGGTCAACTTGGCCTTACTCACCAATCCACAAAAATGCCATGGGATCTGGACATAAAGCGGGACCTGGTATTAGGAAGTTAATGATGTCAGACTTACTAAAAATTGTCTTTGGCAGCTAGCACAGGAAAAAGGTCATAGGCAGAAAAATCTTCTGTTGCACTAACAAACCTGATAGCGTTTTTTTCCTTCCTTCTATCTCCCTTAGAAGTGAGGAAAAAGACTTTTAAAAGTACAAACAGAGTAAACTGGTGGTCTTTTGCAAGTAATTGATTACATAGCAAGAGAAACATGATGCTGCACTGGAATCAATTAAATACCTGGTATGAGAAAAAAATATATATGGGGTTATATATGCCTTTCCACCATGTTACATTATAGAATTTAGATGTTCTGTTTAGCAGACTTCTCTTTATTTCCAGTTCATTCACTTTCCTGTCCTGGTCACTATATATTTAGACCTACATGCAAAAATCAAAGACGTATTTTTTAAAGTAGTAACTGAAAAAGGAAAAACTTGAGCTTTCCAAAAACTTTTATCAGAAGTGTGTGAATCAGGTAAAATGCAAACAGCTAAGGGCCTCGTACCACTCTACTCTTGCATTGAAGACAAGCATATAACGAAAAGTTAACTCCATGACAAGAACTTTAATCTGACACAAAATGTTTTTTCACTACTAAGTCTAAAACACACAACCCAAACACAAAAGCCAATGTGAAAGAAGAAAAGTGAGAGCAACAGCCTCACTGCAAATTCACAAATAATGATAACTATTAGTGCATTTTCTTCTTAATTACCTGCTAACTTTAGGGAACTGCATTCCTAATTACTTCAGTTTAAAAATGGTACGATTCAGGCGGTAAATATATCAGTTTGGAACTCCTTAGAAAAATTGACAAAACTATTTAGCCATCACAAACATGGGCTTGAAAGTACCTAGTAAAATACAATAAAACGAGCTATCTATGATGGGCTTTTAATCATATTGCTGTTAATGAGCAATGTTAACTGCTTTTATACATACATGCATGCACACACACCCATATCCAAACATCAGAAAGAGCAGCGTA